ATTAAGAAATAAATTTTCAAAAAATACAGAATGGAATGAAAATTCAAATTTAAGTTTAGAGAAAAATTTTAAAAGAGAAAAGTTTAAAACAATTCAAGACAAAACAAAATTTGTTTAAAAACTTGAAAAAAATTAAGGAAAAGTGAGAGGAAAATAGAGAATTTAAAATATAAAAAGAACCTTAGATAAGTTCAATTTGAGAGATTTAAATGAAAACATTAAATATCTAAATAAGGATAGAAGAAAAAAGTTTAAAACTTTTAAAAAGAAAAACATTCACATAAAAATTAACAAGTAAAAAAATTAAAAACATTCAAATAGAAAAAAGTACTAAAATGAAAAGTTTAAAAGGTTTTATTTTTTTATTTAAGCATATTGAAATACATGGGTATGAAAGAAGTAAATGGAGAAGACAGGAATAACAAGACAAAGGGGTTTGTGAATATATATATATATATATATATATATATATTTAGTTTTATGTTGACACATCAATACATTTGGAAAAAGAAATAGACACTTTAACCATTATCTCATCATCCATTTATGAGATGGCTGCAAGGCCTGAACACTAGCCTACCTTCCCTTCTCAGATTCCGTAGCCCATATGATTTCCTGAAGGAAAGAGAGCTAATTCTTAGGCAGAATAAATTGCATCTAAGAAAAATGAAAACATTAGGGACTCTCCCATTTAGAACTGCATTGTTCATACAAATTTTTAGCTTCTGAAAGAGGGCTCTTGATAATTTGGTGGTTCAGAGAAGTTAGATCACAACTGTGAAGCTCTGGCTTTGGAGTTTGAGCCCCATGGCCTGATTGAGGAAGTGGCAGGGACCCATATCTGAGGCCCTTTCACCCTCCTCTTTCCCTCTACCCCGCCTCATGGGGAAACAAGACATTTAATTTCCACAGCAGAGCTATGGTTTTGCGCTTGGCAGGCCTTCTGCTCATTCCTTCTTCTCTATTTTCTTATTCTGTCACTCATGCCTGGCTCCCTGAACCCCTCACTTACCTGGCTTTACCTACATCTCTGAGCCCTAGCCTGCAGGGCTCCTTCCTTAACTATTCTCCTGGTGGCTTTTACTCCTCATTCAAGATCCAGCTCACTGATGACTTCTCTGTAGCCTTTTCTGAATGCTCTAGGTGGGTACAAATGGGAAAATTGTTACTCCCTCCCTCTATTCCTCTCACTGTGCCTCCAAAGTACTTTGTCCATACCTCAGTGATAGTACTTACTCTACTGTGATTCTACTGTGATTCTACTGTAGCTTTGTGACTGTCTGCCCCTCTGCACCGAGCATCCTGAGAACAGGGTCCAAGCCTTATTCATTTCTGAGTTAATAAATGTTTGTTGAATGTGAGGATGAGTTCGGTTATTTGCTCTATGCACCCTGTCGGTAATGCACTCTCACCCATTCCTCCTCTCATTAAGTGACCAGTGCTGTAATATGGTGTGATCAGTGTTGTATCTTCCCCAAAGATAGCATATGAAATGCTGCTCAGCTGTAGGGGTTGGCTTGAGAAAGGAGGTGCTCAGGGAGGAAATAGCCAAGTGTGTGGAGGGAGGCCAGGTACAATGCAAGAAAAAGAGCACAGGGCAGGAAGTTGTCAGTCAAGGGAGACTGGTGGGAAGGGGGAGCAGCACCTGAAGGTGAGGCTAAGCTCTCTGATATGTGTTTAGCCACACTGTCCCTCCCCACAGTGTCCCGCAGCTCCCCACAGTGTCTCACCTTACAACTGTATACCACACCTTTCCAGGGTATGCCATATTAGTTTGTCTTCCCCATGAGAGTGCACCTTGCAACTCCTCAGTGTTCTACATTACACCACACATCATGACTGCTACAGAGGAGTGATGTTGGGTGGCTGTATTTATTAGCAAGTTGTAATTTGTCTGCTTAGCACCCTCATTGTTCCACTATTCTTTGTAGTCCTGGTGCAGCTATCGATCGCTTTGCCCTGTTCCTGCCACCCTTCCCCATAGTGGGCATGTCTCTCAGACTGAGCCAGATTAGAGTTCTCAATCTCCCCATCCCTCCACCCATACCCCTATCCCAAGAGCAGTTATTCTGAGGGTGGGCGTAGGACCCAAGTAGGGCCAATCAGAGTCTATTGCTAAACTGAGTGTATATAGACACTGGGAGAAAAAAAGTGTCTTCCTCCCGGCCCCATCCCTGTGCTGGAGTCTGTAGGCTAGGATGACATGAATCTGGGCCTCAGAGGTCAATATCCACACCACAAGGAGGAAAACAGAAAGAATCAAAGATTGGGAGAAAGAACTCAGAGGGTATGATTTGAACCTTGTTGATACAGCTGTACCTGAAGCACCAAAGTTCCCAGCTGTCTGAGCCAATAAAGTTCTGCATTTTGCTTAAGCTAGTTAAGTTGGGATCCTGTCATTTGTAGCCAAGAGTCCCTAACATGTTAACAAAGCTATATTGTTATTGGGGGCATCCTGTTCCTAAGACCACAAAGGATGGGAGATAAAAGGGAAGGAGATGTAACTTCAGATAAACTCCATCATATAACATTGAGAAACCATAGTGGGCCCCTGTATGTCTTTAAGAAGCAGGTGTCAGCTCAGCCACCTGGGCTAGACTTCAAATCTTACAGCAATGATGTGCTTATTTCTAATAAAAGGGAGAAAACGGCAATATTTCATGAGTACTGAGTTAGGGCAGGCACTATGTTATTTGTTTTACCTCTATAATCTCACTGAATTCTCACAACAATCCAGGGAGACAATCATTACTGAACATATTTCACAGACTGGGAAAGTAAAACTCAGAATAGAAAAGTGATTTGCTTAAATTCACTCTACTATTTTAAGCTGTGGAGCCAGTATTCAAATTCAGGTTCCCCAAAGCCCATGCACATCCCATCATAATTCTGTATAGGTAATTCAAAGATTTTTTTTTTCTTTTCCTGATGTTGTTTATGGAAGACAGCATAGACTGGTGTAGTGCAGAAGGCAGCCTCTGGCAAATCTGGATGCAGGTAACCTGCAAGGAGAGTAACCTATCAACTGATTATACAAAGTTTCCCATGTTGCAGGTGGATTTGTCTCTGTAGAAATAGTTGATTCAGACAGATCAGGCAAAATGACTTTACTAAGGACACCCAGGATGGATTAGGCCAAAATCTTACCCCACTATCCGACATATATCCCCACTCAATGCTACATGCCAGACTGAGCATCAAGACCCAGCTGTAAGATCTCAACTTTTCTCTGTCTATGAAACCATCAGCTCTTTCTCTAGTCATACAAAGCTTCCTTTCTAGCTTTAGCAACATGGCTAACACTTTGAGTGTCACTTCCACCATTCTCCTTTCCTCTGATCTTCCCAGAGTGCCAGCAATACCAGCTCCTCCACCAACCCTGGAGAGGCACTTACCTATTAGGATCCGGTTCCTAGATGGCCCAATATTGATTAGGTGGTGCCCAGCTTCTGTTGTTTCTGCACTACTTTCAGTTCCTTAACCTTGATTCCCTTCCAAACACACAATAGTGGCTACTCTGGGCCAGGGATGGACCTATGCATTTATAAATCCCACAGGCCTACCACAGTTTATGGTAGGTATTTAACATGCTGGCTGAATGAATGTATGAACAAATAAACAAAGAAAGGAATTCCATCCTACACTCTAAACCTCAGTTTCAATAGTTGACTTCATGTCCTATTTTTCTGAGGTTAAAAATCTAAGAATGCTTGATTTACCCACATCAACACACTTCTGTCTCCATCCATCCTTCATGCCTTCACTGTAGTTTTAGAGGAAAAGAAATCCTGCTTCCTTTCTGAAGCTATACCCACTAGACTCTTTCCTCTGACCCATTCTTAACAGCCAATAGGCCTTGCTCTCATACTCTATCCTCTATTCCAGTAACAGTCATGTTTTCTGTAGACAGATAATATTCAGCAACTAGACATCCTAGATTTTCTATGGTGGTTCCTCAAAAATTCTGTCCCATCATCCTTATAACACATAAGAAATATCTCCCAAATCCCAATACTTCCCCCAGAGTGAATATTGTCCCCAGAAGAGACCCAAAAGTCTGTTGTAAGATCCTTATTTGGGGTTCTTGTTTAAAAGAAAATTACATAACCTTCATTCTCCTTCCTTTCACTGCCAAACTCTTTTACACATGTTTTTCATACATCATTTC